TTGATAGTTCCCGAAGGGATTCCAGAGCGCTATTAAAACATTTATAGTCAATATTCTCCTTAAAGAAATACCTGCTGATTCATAAACAATTTCCTGGCTAATTAACTGCTTAAAGTTGCCAAACATTACATATATTACTCTGTGGAATTCCTCTTGGAAAGAGTGTTGATATGAATGTACACATTAATTAATTAATGGCAGCTAAAATGAAAAGCTTATCAATTACATATTTTATACACTTTTGTGAATATCCTGGAAAATGCATTTTGCAATCTTATGTTATTTGCTCAATGAGATTTCAATTTTAGCATCCTTTAAGCATAGCCATGGGTTTTCCTATGTGATAGACACAAGGCTGGCAAAAAAAACTCCCAAGATGTTATAGAAAATGGATACTAACAAAACTCCAGATTATTAATCAACACATCTCTTTTCTGTAGTCACCATTTTCATTTCAAGAGTTTGAAAAGACCAAATCCTCAAGACAGCCACTGTTAATACGGATTTTATTTGATTGAAGTATTGATAATATTTTCTTTGTTTCACCTTCCATCATTACTGGTCACTTTATGCCAAGTTTGTACCACTGGAAGCAATGAGCTTTGTAATGTCAAACCTGATTTGTATTCGCTGCTCCACTCAGTGCACATACAAAGCTCCACTAAAAAGCATTAGTGCCAGTCATGCAACTGGCTCCTTAATAACGTTATGATATTTGGACTACCCAAGAGCTTATAAGGAACCATTTTTGAGCAGGTCACCTACACTCAGATTGCAGCAGGTGCAAAAGATATCCTGGCGAAACCACCTACAAAGCCTATCTTAGAAGTCATCTTTTATTGCTGTGATTCTGCAATAATTTGTTTACAAATGGGGTCTCATGCAGCACAAATCAGGCTAGAGCTGTGCTACTGGAATCATCAAGAGGAGATGGTTTTATCACTAAGACTATTCACTCCTACATGCGAATGCAGTGGATGTGAATCATCTTGGGATTACTTCCTCAAAGTCTGTTCAAAGCATTTTTACTTTTATTAAACTGTGGCTAGAGCATGCACTGGACCCAAGATAAAACTGAAAAGCAATGTGAATACAAAATTACCAAAGTATAGCGCCTTTCATGTCGGGAGGACGTCCCAAGACACTGGGCAAGAATTGTTATTTCCTTTTTGGTTACTATATACACTTAAACTGGCCTTGTTTCTTTCTTGTAAATTTGGACACCATCAGTGTTTCCATTGCTTTGTGATCTTTGGGTATTCCCTGTATCTATTTCCAGACTTCAGGTTACCATTAGTTTCCTCCTCTGTGGTTACTGTAATATGGAACAGGAAGTCGAGTTTATACATCCAGCTTCACATTGGCGCTCATACACTCTTTGTCCCTGATTTGACTCTTTGTGCCTGAGAGAGGAACAAGAAAACAAAAACAGTTCCTAATCACTATCCATGATATCTGCTGAAAAAAGCCATTTGCATGGATGGTAAGTGAATATAGGATCTTGCTCAGTGTTATGCATCCAAGGTCAAATAGAGTGGCTAATATTTGCTTAAGGTACAAAAAAGCTGCCCTGGTGCCAATGGAACCATATCATCTTCAGGGCGAGGGGGTGGGGAGGAAATTGGAGGTACATTTTAAATAGAATACACTGGTAATACCAGTGGATCATTGGAAGTACTTACAAAGCACTATGAGATACGTTTACATGGGATCAACGTTTAGAAGTAAGAAATACAATTAGGGAAACATTTTAATATTTGGTAGCAAATGTCTAAGTGAATGAAAATAAGTTTGGCATTAAAATTTCTGCTCAGCCCTCTGGAACATATCACTGGGCAGTTTGATTTTCTTTAATTCACATCAAACAAATTTCGGATGTTCCTGTTCCATTTTGCTTAGAAAAGATTTTTGGGGAAAATGTATTTACAATTACATATTAGCTACTTTGTATAAAAGATGACAAATTGTACATTTGGTGCAATTTAAGTCAGTTATGCATTTTGCTATGTTTAAATGAAATTGTTTAATAACCTGCAAATAACATGAATTGAAATATATTCTATTCTCACTAACACTGTAACTTCTGGAAAGAATGATCAAATTATAATGAACAGCTCCATAACAAACAAATACCTGAATTAAGTCTTTATTTCTGCATTTCTGAAACTTCAATTACTATATGATTTTCCCCCCATCAGAATAAATATTTTAGTTCTGTCCTATTCGGAGAATTGGTAATTATGTTGCATTTTTTTAAAGATAAATGAATGAAATGTCTGTTTTAGAATATGTTATTTTATTATCCTCTATTGTACCATGCAGTGCCATCTGGTGTATGCACAAGCAAACAAAAGTAAAGATATGCATGCTAACAGTTCAAGGTGGAATCGGAAAAAAATATCGAATATGTTTGTTTGATGTTTATAAACTTCAAAATTAGCTGCAGTGTTTCCAATAGTTTTAAGTGGTTTGACACAAAATACATTAATTTAAGAAAGATGCAGAGGGTAATAGTACCTGAATCACTGGGTTGATAGTGAAGTCAAACTCATCACTGTGTTTATCCTGCTTGAAACAGGGAAATTTTGGAGGATCAGCCAGATCTCTGATACATGTGGAAACCCATCACCATACTCAAGAGTATCCAAACCAACCAGGCTTGGGAACCCCAGAGTGTGTGTTGGGGTACTGCTGGAGTCTCATTAATGCATGAGAGATTTCCACCATCTTCCTGCTTGCTCGCAGCTCAGACACACGTCCTTTTCCATTGAGCGGTACTTCCACCAGTTGGAAGCGTGGAACTTAAGCAGCAGCTGCAAACTAATCAGGGTAGATTCCAAGCACTGTATGTACGAATGCAATTACAACAAACGACTCAGTGTAATTCATACCCGTTGCATTTTTTACTGTACAGGTGTGAATTGCACTGTTCCACATACCATTTTCACCCAGTTATATCAGAAGAAGCCCTCATTTATACTTCATAGTTAATGACAAATTGCTGCCATACACGTGTGAATCACTGCAAAATAGGCAACATAAACACAGTACGACTAGAACACTGTTGCAACGTTCACATCCATTGTTCTACATTTGCCAAAGAATCTGATTCAACCATCACTATAATAATACTACTACTACTAATAATAATATTGCATTTGATATAGCGCTTTTTATCTTTCACAGAATAGACTGTAAAGTGGATTTGTGGGTGAAACGCAGCAGCCAATTATGCACAGCAGTGTCTCACAAACAGTTGTGGAAGTGACCAATTTTATTATTATTATTGTTTTTTTTCTTGAGGGATTATTATGAGGTGTGTGGAGTAAGGAAACTTGCCCAAGGCTTCACCCTGCCAGGAATCCAACTCAGGTTTCTCACTTGTGAGGCGAGTGCTCTAACATTGAGCTACAGGATATGTGAAGGACACATCCTTGAAAAATTCTGAGAGCATGCCGTTCCATTCGGTCCATTTATGGAACACAGTTTTTCAAAAATATTTTATTTACGAGATGAACCAGCATTTATGGACTGCAGCAGGTTAGAATTTTAATGTTTATTTCAGTGAATGGTAAAATAAAAGATGGGCCTGTTGAATTTATGCTATATTGTATTTATTATAAAGGCTTCTAAGCTGCAGAAAAGACAAAAACACTTACTTTTTTCAAATGTTTAATATTATTTATTACAGCTGTGTAACCAAACAGTAAGAAATGTAGTGAGGGATTATAATGCCTACAGTCTCTCTTGTCACTTAAAACAAAAACTGATATAATTGACATTTCATGATGCTGAATAATCACAATTAAAACATAACCTTCATGCAATATCCATATGTTTATAAATTCTGTGCCATGCAACACACACTTTTCTTTGCTCCACATCGATTAACTGCATAGAGGCTATTGTCAGAAATGATGAAAAATTATACCTAAAGGCAACACTTGCTCTACTCAATCTCAGTCCATGTATGCCAATATTAAAGCTTATGCCTTTAAAATGCGCTCTAGCATAGTACAGGTTTTAATTAGTTATATGTATTCACCTTATAGCCAAATAAACAACAGCAACAAAATTACATTCATATAGAGTCTTTCACATTGGAAGGACGTCCCAAAGTGCTGGACAGTTAAAGGTTTACACCCAAGCTGGGATTGGAATCAAGACGGTTGAAAGGTAGGGAGAGTGGGATGGTTCTGAAAGCATGGTGAAAGAGGAAAGTCTTGAGACTTGAAGGAGGCAACAAAGGAGGCAAGGTGGAGGGATTTTGGGATGGATTTCTAGGGGGTGGGGATAGAAAAGCTGAAGACCCGACCGCCAATGGTGGGGCAGAGGGAGCAGACAGGTTGGCATGATGTTAATAGATTACAGAGTTAGGGAGAAGCATGAACGTCGAGAGCTTTAAAAGTGAGGACAATGATTTTAAACTCGATACTCTGAGAGGGGGAGCTAGTGGAGCTTGGCGAGGATGGGGGTTATCAGTTCACAAAGTCTGGTACGAGAGAGGATGAGAGCTGCAGAGTTCTGAATAATCTGCAGCTTGTGGAGGGAAGAGTTGGGGAAGTCTATTGAGCAGGGAGTTAGTGTAGTTGACCCTGGATGTGATGAATACATGAATGGGGGGCTCGGCAGCTAAGGAGAGAGACAGTGGGGGAGGCAGGCAATGTTTCAGAGGTGGGGGAAGGCAGAACATGTCGTGATATGAATGAATAACTTAAAGGATAATTGAGCATCGAACAGGCCACTAGGGTTCCATGCTGGCTCTGTGAGATGGAGAGTGCATCCGTGAATGATGATGCTGTCAATGCCTGAGGTGAGGAGGCACTGATGGGAACCAAGCAGTAGGGCCTTCGTCTTATCAACGTTTAACTGGAGAAAGTTAGCTCTCATCCAGAACGTGGTGGCTGACAGACAATTCTCCAGGACATTGGTGTATTGGAGTCGAGAGTGGAGGAAAAGAGATATAGTTGGTGTCATCCGCATGAATGTGGAAGTTAACCCCAATCCTATGGATGATATCACCAAGCGGGAGCATGTAGATATTAAAGAGAGGAACATCGACAGAGCCCTTTGGAACGCTGCACGTGTTGGGCAGGAGGAGAAGCCGTTGGTGGATACTAAGTGCAGACGATGGGGAAAGGTAAGGATGAAACCAGGCAAGAACAAAACCATGAAGATGGAGAGGAGAGGAGAGGCGGTAGAGAAGGATAGATTAAAATAATAAAAAAAAACTATACTTTTCTTTTGAAAAAAACTTATAACCATTTGCATGTCCCAGCCAGACCAAAATATGAATTCAGAATAGCCCTTTTGAAATTCTGGGTGCTGATGTTTAAAATGCCAGCTCACTTCAACAAGCGATTACAGGCTTGTGGGATTGGAATTTCTAGATATAACCTGGGATCAATAAAACCACTTTGGCAATGGACATCTTAGATTAACTACTCACTTGCACTACAGACCTAGAAATGATATCTCATTAGTGATATCTCTTGTGTAATTTTGATACACATGACTTTTCTATACATTTTTATCATTTGTTGCCTTGATGTATTTTAAACAGAATGCAAATATACTAAAACCTTTAGGCTAACTCTTCATTGCAATTTAAGAATTTTTACATAAATCACAAAAATAACGATTTTTAGGGGGTATCAAATATTACAGAATGAACTGAAATGTACATGTATTATGTTTTTATAATCCATTTGTCTATATAATTGACTTCAACAAGAATCAAAAGTAATGCATGTGTTGTCCTGCGATAACTAAACTTCATTGTTTGAGGGTTGAGGTTCATTTACACTCCATATATCAGGAGGCCAGCTATTCCCTTTAAAGAAAATAGAAACCAGAATCCAATCTTACTATATTAAATTTGCCCCAAGATATATTTTGGAACTCCAATGAGAATTTTAAAATTTGACTTTGTGTGGTGGGAAGGTCACTCTAAACAAAATTTTCAAATAATTAACAATTCAAAAGATGAACGATCCTTGCAACCCAGAAACTCCTGACAGCACCCATCAATAAAACAATGCATTTGGTTTATATATGTGAAAAAAATCATAACTCAGTTAACTGTATTTTTAGTCTTAATTATACTTGCAGCTTCTAAATATATGCTCTCTGCTCGAATTATTAACCTTGAGAAGACTGAAAGGTTTCAAGAAAGGACAACTATTTCAAGTATATCACTGTATTGAAGAATATCCCATGGTTTCATGCTGCTGTCTAGTTCTAAGTCATTATATTTTGCTTCAGAAGCTTTAGATGCTAATTTTGTTTAGCTGAAAAGGGCCATCTGAAGGGTTTGAAATGTCCTCTTAATACAATGGTTCTGTTTTCATAGCAAAACTCACAAATTAGCATAATACAATTAATAATTCTGAATTATTAAAACAAATACAGCCACTGGACAGAGAGCCAATGTTAAATTTAAATTCTCTCAAAGTCATTAAATCATTGATATCCAGTGAAAATAACAAGTCTATTAATATATTAATTCTATAATAAATTAATATGTACTCATTCTGTCTTATAATATTCAAATGTTGGAAATAATGTGAAATCAATCAGTGATATAAATCCAAATATATTAGCTTTTGATTTTCATGAATTATTTGAGTTTTGCATAGAACAATTATATGATCATACCTCATATATACTACAGACATCTATTCCATCCTATTTTATTCTATTAATCTGCTGCTAAAACATAATGTGGAGCAGTATATATGTTTAGTAAAAAGATGATAATCAGAATACATAAAAATAATTGAAATTGTCAGCATTAGTAAGTGATATTATTCCTTTCGCATAGCAGCTGAAAAATTCAGTTGCCAGTTTTTGGCGATGTCTTATGTGATACCAACGATAATTTGTAAAGATCTCTACTGGTAGACTGTATATGGCTTTGGGGATCATTCACAACGGATAATATAAGAAGAGCAAAGGAAATATAAAGTGTCGGAGCTGCTTTTCAGGAATATTACTCTGCTCTTTCGCTTTGACACTGGAGACTCCCTGAGCTTGAACAAATCAGATTTTACCAATTGTCCCACTGCTCATCTGTTTCTGTGCTTTTCCTAGGTTTCACAAGTAATTTGTCCTGTCACATTAGTACCAACTCTGACAAGGAATTCTTGGTAAAACATCTGGACGCCTCTTTGCAGAGATTGGATGTGAAATCTGATGCAACAGAAAGTCAGATTACATTTTCTATTCCGCCTCACTCTAGTCCAAGGTTAAGGATAACTCTGCATATGTGCAGCTACAGGTAGATCTCTGCTAAACAGCACCAAATAACTTACCACTTATGTTTCTTCCATTTTCCAGCTACTTCTGAGAAGTTATTAAATATAAATTATTTAAAATAATTTTAAATAATTTAAAATATTTAAAAATTAAAATGAAAGGTTTTTTAAAATTTGTCTAGATATATAAATTCTACTTAGGTGGTTTCAGGACAGAGGCTCCGAATCAAAACAATGCCTCCAAAAGCTGATTTATTATATACTGATTAGTGTCAATGTGATGCAACCATATCAGTGTAACAATAATAAAGGTGCAGGATAAATGGTCTATAAATGTTCAATTGAATGCTATTCATGTACGAATGATCCATGTTGAAATATTTGTGCACGATCAATTTTAAGAATATATGTTGGATATATGTGTGAAGTTCTTTTAGAGTTTAAGAAACATTTCTTCCTCTGAACTCACTCATTGCTTTCACAGGATGGATCTTTTTCTTTGCAGAACCCTTCCTGACTGCAGCAGACATTTCTTCAGGCTTCTCTCTTTTAATCAACGGTTTCTTTTCAGGAGCTTTCATCCTCCACATTACAACAGAATGGTGTACGCCAGAAGGGCTTTGTAGCCGAATAATCTTGGTTGATGCAATGTAGGACATCTTCACTGTATAAACTACAGCATTCATCAGATTCTTGGCGGCGTGAATGAGTGAAGTAATGCTATCCAACTGTATAGAAAAAATGTTTTAAAAATTCATTAATGTTAAACATTACTAAAGAATTACATCATTTTAATCTTGTACCAGAAAAAACATATTTAAATTATTTCAATCTCTGGGAACCTTAATTTCATTTTTGTGATGGGAGCATATGTGTATAAAAGAAATCCCAACGCAATTACTTTCAGAAAGCAATATTTGAGGCAATTCTTCAGAGTTGAAGAGAAAATATGAAGTGATGGGTTATTACCATTGTCAAGAAATCGTTCTTTGGATTTGTTTCAAAATCCTGTGCATATCTTCTCATTGCAGGGTTTTAAAGCTCAGTAATTTTACTGAAAAGTCAGAATCGGAACAGTCTCCTCTGAAATAGTTGTGTTGCCCTGTGGGACAAACTGGTGCTGCAGAAGATGCATTACCTGCTCCAGGCTGAACTCCTACAATGGAGCTTTTGTAAAGCTATGACAAAAATATATGTGGTGCAGGTGAGATTGGTAAAGCAATACTGTCATCATTTACATCAGTGATCTTTCCTGTGTAGCCAAGCATGTAGTACAATACTGCTTAACCATATGTTGTGAAAAAACATCTTAACAGGAGTTAAGAGTGTCATCAAAGCTATTAAAATTATATTGTTTCCTTAAACACCAGCAGATGTTGCCACTTGTTTTGGAAAAAAATATTAAATATTTGAATATATTTAAATATAAAAATTATTTTCTTACCAAAAAAATAAGCTTTTATATCCATATTAATGACCATGTTGTGCATATTTGATTTTTGAGTTCTGGTTGAGGGTAACACAGCATGCCTCCATTCTTTTCATAGACTCTTTGATAGCATAGATTTTGAGGTAAGGTATGGGAGTTAGATGCATTCCAGAACATCTCTATTCACTATAATGGTATCTGGCACAATAGTACATTGCTCACTGGCCTTGATCACTACAGAGATGCCCAATGCCAACTTCTGGCTCGTCAGTGTTGTGTACTCAACAATAAAGATGGGTTTCTACTAGGCATCTCATTTGCCCTTTCTCCCCCACATCCGTGCCATGATCTGCTCTGAGTTCCTCACCACCGCAACATCAGCTGACTCCACCTCTGCCTCACCCCTCAGGCCACCAAAACCCTCATACATGCCTTCATTACATCCAGGCTTGAATATGCCAATGCCCTGCTTGTCGGCCTCCCCAACTCCTCCTTCCATAGGCTGCAGATCATCCAGAACTCTGCAGCCTGTGTCCTCTCCTGCACTAGACTCCGTGACCCTATCACCCCCAGCCTCGCCCGACTCCACTGGCTTCCCAGCACACAGAGGATACAGTTCAAGATCCTGGTCCTCACCTTTAAAGCCTTTCAAGGCCTTGCTTGCCCCTACCTCTGCAACCTCCTAACCTCTCACCAACCTGCTCATTCCCTCTGCTCAGTGGGCTCCTGCTTCACGTCCCCCACCTCACCTGCCCCACCATTGGCGGGCGGGCCTTCAGCCACTCTGTCCCCACCCTCTAGAACTCCACCCCGCAGTCCCTCCGCCTCGCCCCCTCACTTGCCTCCTTCAAGATCAATCTCAAGACCCTCAACTTCGACAGTGCCTTCTGCCACCCTCCTTCCCCCACTGCCCTCCACCCTCCCCGATCCCAACCCCCAGCTCGGGTCCGAAACTCTGATTGTCCAGCACCTTGAGACGTCCTCCCGACATGAAAGGTGCTATACAAATGTAATTTTGTTGTTGTTGTTCTTAACATTCTCCCATGAATCACTCTCAGGTTGGTTCAAAGCTCCGATGTCTATTAAATAGAAGATAGTTATAGCACATATCCACCTGTACCTTTAGTCAATAGCATGGGAACAGCTATGAAGGGAAGTACAGTATATCTGCCTCTTGGAAGCACAAACACAAAACTCAAATGTATTTACAGCCAAGCAATCATGATTATAAATCTAACTTTTTGGGAGAAAGTTGGTGAATTCTTTGTACAGAAAGTAGTCCAACATACCTCTTCCTTTAAAAAGTATAACTGAATGCTAATGGTACAGTTCACATTAATCAAGCTACTCTGCTCCCACAAGTACATTACTGTTCAATACTTATTATTGTTCAATTATTACAATCCTTTTGTTCAACATCTACTTTGAAACGGTGAATGTCATGATGAGTAAATTTATTTTAAAAACACGTTCAAAGACTTGTCCATGCCATCTTTTGTTGCTGTTTGTTTTATATTTGTGTTGTGACAGTAATACTTGTGACATCATGAGGATGCCTAGTTTGAGTTACTCACGTCTGTTGATGGAGGGAATGGAATTAACGTGTGGAGTTGATGCCGATCCAGCCTTAATTAATGATCATCACTGCCAGGGACTCAATTAAGCCACTAAAGATAAGTATTAACCTAGAGTACTTCAGCTTCAAATGTTAATTCTATTCCTTAACATAAGCTTAGGTATCTCCTTCAAGCCAGTTCCTTCAAGCATTATAAGATTCCCAAATAACCGCAATGATACCTTTCAGGCTAGTAGATAAAAGATGAGTTACATTTTAATAAGATAAAATATTCAGAACTGGAACGTAAGACTATTTGGAATTTGGAAAGCTCGTAGCATCGTCTACAAGTTAACACTGTACTAGACTTCCATCTTTTTAATTGCAGCATAAGCAGCTGCAACAACAGAGGTCGTCTGTGGCTATACAAGGTTTATGTTCTAATTTCTTACACTGTGTCTTTAAGTTGTTTTTAAAAAAGTCACAAGAAAGGTTTGAATGATGAAGGCCCTTGGCCCATTTGATTTCATACTTCCAGAATGTTTTACAAATTAATTCAGCAACCTGATCTCAACCCGCCAGTCTGGTAACCTGTTTCAGTTGGCAATTACCCTCTGGGTAAAGAAATACTTCCTGTAAGTCCTGTGTCAGTCCTGTAAATGCTCTTTGCAACCTTAAATCTGTGTCCTCTTGTTCTGCTGTTTCAGTGTATCTGAATGTAACCTCGGTGCATCTGAAACTGTAGTCTGTTTTCTGGCAGGTCTGTTTACAATTATGCCTTGAATCATCCTTGAATGAATAGATCTTGTGAAGGTTGTAGCCACAATGTATTTTAACAATGCCACCATCAGAAACAACACAACACAGTTCCTGTGTTTGCCCTCAAAGAGCTGGTCAGTGAAATTTGTGAAGCATTCAATCCCCATGAGGTTGGCAGTACTATCTTCTAAAAACTAAGATGGAAAATGCATACATGGAAAGATACTGACTCTATTGTGCATGTTAAGGTAAGAAAAATATCAGCTGTTATATAATGTCAGAGCAAGAATTAATGCTATCAATTTATGTGCTAATTGGTAGGCTAAAAAGGCAACAATAATAAATTACTCTAAAGGTTGTTTCCAGAAGAACACAATATAATTTATTAACAGTATATTGTGTAAATGTTAAAACTAGCTCATATTAGAGTCAAAACATTTTTTAAAATTGATTTGGCATTAAAAGGGCAAACAATTGTCCTTTGCATAATGTTAGGAATCACAGAAATACAAATCAGCAGTGGGTTGCTGGTTTTATAATTAATAATAATGAACATATGTTGAAATTATATAATTATACATTAGCTCTTCCAGCACCACATATGACTTATTCTATCCAGGCTTCTGGTAGAACAGCAAAGACAATTTGTCTGCCTAAGAAATAATCTCTATGGAAAGTGACCTGTTTTATCGACATGAGGCTGTTAATCCTAGGAGTTCTAAAGTTGACTGAATGAAATAATTAACTTTGGAAATGGATTATACGGGTTCCACCTACAAAAAATACTGGTGCATTAAACAGGCACAAAAATGAACATAAGGAAAAGACTTTTTTGGAATTTTTTTTTAAAAAAAGTATAAAAGGTCAAAATATCTTATACCAGGGTGGTCCGAATGGGGGGCCACGGGTTGCACATGTGCCGGGGAATGATTTCATCTGACTCACAACCACAGTTGACTGTGTGTCCGGAGCACAGTCTTGGTCTGACCTGATGGGAAAAACAGTGGAGCGAGGCGGAGGTTAGCAGGAGAACCTGTCAATCACTTTCAAACCGGTAACAGGAGAGACACAGATATAGATATAGAGAGACATACACAAACAGAGAGAGAGAGAGATCCCCACACACACAGATACAGGGACATACACAGACAGTGAGAGAGAGATACAGAGACACACACAGACAGAGAGCGACAGATAAAGAGACACACACGGACAGACATAGAGAGAGATATATAGCTTGTCACTGGCTGTATTGTTTTAAAATTTGTATGAATTTTTACATTGCTGGGGGTGGGTTTAAGAAGTAAGAGGAGTGTCCTTCGAGCAGAACTGGCTCCAAGGTGACTTGCTTGGCAATGTAATGTTGGGGTCGAGCCAGACCTCTGTGGCTGTCTCGGTAGTTCTGGTTCCTGAGCCAGGCGGATCCGCAGGATTCCAGGGCACTGCTGATGACAGCACAGTCAGCCTGGCTCATCGCCAGGACTTGGAAGGGCAGACTAGTCACTCGGCTTCCGTTAACCCTACAAATATCCACATTTATGAAGCCATTGGAGAAATAAAATTAATAATTGGAAACACACCATACAAATGCCATTTAGTTCATTGAAGCAACTCCAAGGAAGTATAACCTTTATGGTTTAAATGGTCCCTAGTGCACTTGCAGTCATAGTACAAACTGCCTATAATACAACATTAATTAAGGAGGAGCAGTATGCCTTAGGCAGGTGACATTAACAGCACTGTCGCTTTTAATGTTACCCTACTGCTAATGATCTGTCAAATTAACTTTTTCTCTTACAATATTAATTCCTTCAATCAAGATCAGTGCTCCTGCTACTCTACTGCAGTTCCCTTCGTAATTGGAAGAATTGAAGAACCACAGTGTCATGTTCTTGCTCATTTACAGTTTGGACTCATTTTCCAATCAATGTGTGATATAAGGATAGATGTAACAGACTCACCATCTACTATGTTGATAGTACATT